GTAAATAAATATATATTATTTAGGGACAGGTCCTACTAAGTTGTTGGGGCTGGCATTGAACTTAGAATCCTGCCTTAGCCTCCCCAGCCATTGGGATTACAGGCATGTGCTACCACTCTGTGCCCCCCATCCCCCCCCCATGTTTTTTAAAGGTATGTATTTCTTTAAAAAGCCATGCTGTCCTGCCAACAACTTCACAGAGGTAACAAGTCATCAGAATTACAGGATTCTTATTCTTGCCTATTATTAACCATATGATTTAGCTTTTTGTTGTTGCTCTCAAAACTAAAACCAGAGACTCAGTAGTCTGAGGCAGGAGGACTGCAGGTTTGAGGCCAGACTCAGCAACGTAGTGAGACTCTAAGCAACCTAGTGAGACCCTATCTCAAAACAAAAAATAAAAAAGTGCTGGGGACGTGGCTCAGTGGTAAAGTGCCCTAGATTAGATCCCTAGTACTAAAACAAACAAAAAGCCTAAAATCAGGATAGCTGCTCATCATTCATGCTTGGGACAGTGCTCTCTGTCCTTAAAGTTCCTTTGGATCCCACTGTCCCATACTTGTGTCCACTGGGTGGATGGGTCATGTGAGAGCACTGTTTGGCAGGAGCCTCAGAGGAACCTGGAAGGAGGTACCAGGGGAAGTGGCTTCTCAATCTCCCAGGATCTGTGTCATCATTTGTAGGTGTTAAGTGTTCAGGGTTGAAAATGTTAAGCATCAACATGTCAAATTAAAAACTTCTATATCCTCTCAAATCTCAGATTTACAAAATATATATTTATTTTCCCCTATAAGTTAGATATTTTAAATCATAAAAGCAGTACCTGCTATTTTGACACTTTCACTTTTTTTCTCTTAACAATAACTGATATCACCAATACTTGTTGAACATTATGTCCTAGATGCTGTGCAAAACACCTGATAAGCATCATCTAATCTGTACAGCAATATCATTTCAATATACTGGCCTCAATTCCCAGATAGGGACATTGAGGTGTAGAGAAGTCAAATAATTCACACAAGGTCGCCCAGTAAGCAACAGATACATCAATGGGCATCTCTCTGAAGCCAGATCCTTGTCCCAGAGCTGTGGAGGGAAGGGCTGGTGGTGAGCACAGCGTCCACCTAGCGAACTGCAGCCGGGAACCCCCACTCCCTGCCTGAACCACCCAGCCTCAACCACCCCTTCCAGACCAATAGGGGAAGGTTGAAGTGGGGCAGACCTGAATAGGCTTGCAGGGCTAGTCAATGGTGACGGTGACTTTCCCAGACACTGAAAAGCATTCATTTGGATCAGCAGCATTGACCCAAGCATGTATGAAACCCTAAACTGATCCACTCCAGTGGCTCCCTTCGGGTTCTTTCTCTCACTCCGGAGGATTTCTGTTTCCAGTTACAGTTAAGTAAATCCTATTGTTACACTCACCCATGCTCCTCTGTGGATTTCATTCTTCAAATTTGTAGGACAAAATCCAGAAAGAAAAAATCTGTGGTGAGCTGTTGAGGCCTGCAGCCCGCCCTAGAGCGGGGGTCTGCAGTCCATGCAGGTCCCGCCCTCCAGCAGAGGCTTCATTTCTGCCAGTTCATGTTCGTTTTCCCCCTGTTACTTTAAACAGCTGATAATGCTCTTCTGTATGGATGTACGCTGTTGGTTTTTGTCTCTGTGAGTAGTGCTGCTGTGCACTGTCCACTTTTGTGGACCACAGGTAGAGGATAAATTCCTAGGAAAGGAATCACTGCATCAAAAGGTACATGATTTTAAATCTAGATAGATTCCATTGCAGAGGGGCCTGCTCTTCCAGCATGGATTTTGGGGAGTTTGAGGGTCGGGAGAACCCTCTCCTAGATGTTTCAGAGAATGTCTCTGTTTTATTGCGCAGCAAAAATAGTTTTAATAGTGGGTATGTGCCAATTTACATGTGACAGTCATGATAAGCCAGAGGTAGTACCTAAGATATTATTTTACAGGAGTCCAGACACCAGGAGTCTAGAAAAACTGTCACACAGGCCGACCTTGTACCAAAAGGGGAATAACTTGCTGTCAAAGGAGCAAGGACATTGCACTTGCCAGTGTTCTAACAGCACTTTGTCCCCAAACAGCGTTCTGTGTTAAGACTTCCCTGCACAATGAGCAAGATAAGCATCCCTCCATGTAGGTATAGAGTCAGGTTCACCAACATTCTATCAAATATTTTCCCCCAAAAGGATGGTACCAATTTGTATTCCCAGCAGGAGTGTTTGCAGAAGCCTTTGTCACTACTGCAGCTAAAATCAGGTGTTGCCTGTCCTTTGCATCTACAAAATGTCTTGCTCTTGCAGGTTGTTTCTTGAATTAATCGTGAAGTTGAGTTTGTGTTGCCTTTAGTGGATGCCATTGGTTCTCCGAGGTCACCTCAGATTCCTGTTTGGCCATTTTCCAAGCACTTCACCCCCCACCCACCCCAGGTGTTTTCAATACTTCTCGCCTGCAGCTCTTAAAAGGGTGCCAGAATCCACTTGCACACACACACTAGAAATGCCAGGAGTGTCCATCCTCCAGCATGGCCCTCAGGCATGGACTAGCAACTGTGGCCTCTAACCTCCCCTCCAGATTTCCAAGGGATCATGCAGAGCCGGCCTGTGCTACGACTCCAGTGAACTCTTGCTTTTTCTCCACCCCCCCTGCCTTTTTTTCCTGCTTCATGTATTCTCACCAGTTTCCCTACAAAAACACACTTCTGTAACAAGTCCTTTTTCCTTTTTTAAATAAATCACTTCTATACAGTTCCCTGAATCAGGGCTTGCTTCTAGGAACCAAACTTAATATTCAGGCTATAAAATGAACTCACAAATCAGTAAGAAAAACAGCCCGAAAGAAATATGAGCCAACAATAGAAATATATAGAAGATGAAACTGGGTAGCAATTGATTTATGACATCATTACTAATCAAAAATTTAGATATTAAAGACATACCATTTTACTTCTTGCAAACCAAAATTTAAAAGACTGGCAAGCTGGTACGTTGGGGCCCCTCTTGCAATCCCAGCAACTTAGGAGGCTGAGGCAGAAGGATCAAGAGTTCAAAACCAGCCTCAGCAACTAAGTGAGACTGCCTCAATAAAATAAAATAAAATAAATTAAGTGGGCTAAGGATATGGCTCAGTGGTTAAGAGCCTGTTATGGTTTGGATGTGCTGTCCCCCAAAGAAAATACAAGAAGGTTCAAAGAAGAAATGATTGGGTTATGAGAGCCTTAACCTAATCAGTGGGATTAATTGAGTGGTAATTGGAGTGGTAGCTGGGGCTGGAGGAGGTGGGTCATCGGGGTAGCTTTGGAGTATATATTTGTATCAGGCTCAAGTGGAGTCTCTCTGCTTCTGGATGAGTCGTGTGGGCTGCTTCCCTCCCACAGAATGGAGCCTGTCTATGGATTGGAGCCTCTGAAACTGTGAGCTCCAAAATAACTTTTTCTTCCTCTAAAATTGTTTCGGTTGGGTCTTTTAGTCACAGTAGTGAAAAACTTGACTGAAACAGTGCCCTTGGGTTCAATCCCCAGGACCCAAAAGAGGAAGTTCATGCACTGTGGGTGGTGGTGGTGCACGTGGAGGCAGCCTCTGCCTCCATGAGGCTGTGGGACTTGGTCCATTTTGTTGACTACTGTATCCTAAGCCTCTGGGCCATGTAGTGTGTGCCCAGCACACAATGGATGCCCAGCAAATGTTTGTGGAATGAATTAATTTTTTGGTACACCAAAGAAGCAAGTAGTTTCAGAGAGGACACACAGAGAAGTGGGGTTGTAGGACAGGGAGAAAGGAACTTCCCAGAAAGTGAGTTGATTAAACAAGTCTATTACCAATTAGTGAAGTGGTAGGCATTCCCGCTGATCACATTTAGCTACTTTATCCATCAGTCTAGTTGATCAAGTAAATCTGTGATGGGCATTGAATCCACACCAGTTCAGAGCTGGCAGCTTTGCATCTGAAAGATTTCCATGCTTTCTTCCCTCTCTGTCTTCCTTCTGGCTTTCTTCCCTTCCTACCTCCTTTTCAATTCTTTTTGGATTACAATATATGAAAAACTCACATGTTGGTATTTTGTATTAAACATATGACTAGTATGTTTTAGCTTTTTTTCCCTCCTGGGGGACTGGATGTTTTTAAAGCTATAATTAAATAGTGTGGACATCAAAGTTCCTAGATATGTCATTTGCTTGATTTTCACTGGGAGCACATTTAAGATGTCTTGTAGGTGCTAGGTTACACTGGGAGACTCTGACGTCTTTCTTCCTTGCTTCCCAGAATAAACACATGTGTCCTATAACACGATGAATATGGAGTCAAGAGCTGACACGTAATGTTAGGAAGACCTTTGTGGATGGGTTTCTGGTTACTGGAGTGAGATGGGTCTATGAAGTCTGCCCCTAAACTGGGATGGCTTTGTTCTAGGGACACCCCAGAGACCCTGGTCTTCACTCAGACCCATCAAACTCAACAGGTACTCACTGGATGGAGTGGCTACATGAAGGAGTGGGACCAAGTGCATTATAAAAGTATAGGGCCTCTTCCTCAACTTCACTAAGAATGATGAGGGTGGGACTGGAATGTCAGCCCACATGTGGGGCTCTCCAGTGTGGGGCCCTGAAACCTGCTGGTGAAGCCAGCCCTGAACATGGCTTCCTGTTAGGGTGCTTAGTGGTCC